CATTTTGTTATTTCCCCCTCACCTTCTGTTCTGTATTGACAGAAGGGGTATTGGCTTAGGAATCCCCCATTCAAATAGAGCTGCAGAGAGAGTCTTGAGAGCTTGTTCTCTATTCAGGAAAACAGGGCGTTGAAGTTCTGTGGAGGCAGGCAAAGGCCAGCACACGCAGCACTCACACCCTGGACATATGTCCTTTATTATGTCCTGTTTATAGAAAACAAACAAGTTTCCTCAAAAACTATGGTCATCTCTTTTTAACACAAGCCCTGGTGGTTTTATTTGGTTTTATGTTCTGGGAAAACAACTAATGCTATTACTTAATTTATTTCTATCAAACAAAAACAGAAAAACAACAACACACACACACAAAAAAAGACAACAGTGTGTTTGTGTGTGTGTGTGTGTGTGTGCATGCACAATCCAATTATCTCCTTATATTTGGAACTGGAAATGTTCGCAGAGAACTATTGCTTTAAGAGAGTAATTGTTTTCTACTCAACAACCTTAGAGCCAATTCCCCTGGGAATGGTTTCGAGATCAGAGCCAAGAAAGTAGTCACAGAAAACACCGTGTGTACATCCCAAATGGTGTCCCCAGGGAGGAGTGCCGCCCCTGGCAGTGAAGGGTGGGCATCTCTACAGGCTGTTAGCCCTCCTCCAGGGGCTGGAGAAATGCCCTCTTTCAAGACTACTTGGGAAATAATGTGAAAGGATCCATTTCAAAATGGTCTTCCAGTAAATAAACCTTGAGGAAGAAGCCTTCTGTTTTTGGAAGACTTGTTGAGTCACCCAACTTGTATCTTTCGTTGCCTTCTCAGTCCTAATCCTTCCCCCCTACCCCCACCCCCAGTGGGAGGGCTTCTCCAGACTCCCAGCATCCTTCATGTCTGGGTGGCAGTTTACTTCTTCTATAATATAAGCCAACTTTCCTGAAAAAGCTCATCCACATGGTTTTCTTTTTCTCTGAATCCCTAAAGAAGTATGTCCTCCCATTCAGGCCATTGTGTGTGGAGCAGGCCACCTTGGATTCTAACAGAAACTGCAGACTTTCTCCTCCAGAAAAATGAGCATCTACCTTCAATCATAGGATATCCTGTGTGCACTTTCCACAGACCACGGATGCTCAAAGTCCCCAAATACGGGTCTGGAGCCCAGGTCTCCTCCTGTGAGGAAAAGAACCTAGACCTTGGGTTTCTAGACTCTCAAGGTCAAATGTGACTCCACCTCTCATTCTCTTGTCACCTTCAGAAATATGCTTATCCATCTGAACCTCTTTGTCTTCCAATAAACTCAGAGATACATGCAGCTACCTGACAGGTAGTATTTGCACTACCTTCATGAGTACATTGGTAAACCCTTTCCTGCTGCGTCATCTGGTAGCCAAGACCTTGGACCCTCCCTTGCAGTGCCCCAACCAGACCCTCATCACAGAAATGAAATCAGATGGCACGACACTCACGTGCTGCACAGTAACTATATCAGTGCTTTTTAGTGACCTCTAGAAAGGCTAAGAGAGGTGTGTGTGTGTGTGTGTGTGTGTGTGTGTGTGTGTCTGTGTGTGTAGGGGGGTTTAAAGTAAACCTAAACTTTACAATATCTACAAAAACCCTAGTTTTAAATAATAGGCATGTTTACACATTATTGCTTGACCTCCTCCATGTGAAGCTACTCTTACCCGGAAATTTCCTTTTTTCTATCTCTCTAGCCATGATTGCTTTTTCCTTTAATCGTAAAACGCTGTGCTTCTTCATTGTAATCCATTTGTTTTATTTTTGGAAAACCACAGCTTGAAAGAGACCCACCTTTCTCCTTTGCTTTGACTCTCAGAAGCTCAGGCCGGAATTGATAAACCATCTCCAGCAAATGCGAAGGCCTTATGGCCTAAAAGTCTTGCTCCTTGCCTCTCTACCTTTATCTTCCTGGTCTACTCCTATTTTTCTCTTTCCTCCACTTCCATTCTGTAAGTGTTTGTATTCCCTAATGGAATATAACTTCTCTTAAATTATTTTACTGAATGAGATAAAATATTAAAAAATCATCTTCCTGTGAATCAGTACGGTATCTCCCTAGGAACTTGGTGCATAGCAACGTGTTTTGCATGCACCGAGGAGCTGTTGGAAAAGAGTAGACAGCCTCTGTCATGAGGATGTGTGTGGGTTTAGTGGAAGTCCCTGGGTGAGGGGCCTTTCCATGAGGAGCCCTGGGTCCAATTCCAAACAAGCATTGTCTCTACTCAGGGACCATCTGAGTGATGTTAACTCACTTTGCACACCTTCAACCAGAACATACTTGCATGGATTCTTGGAGGAAGTAGGATGCATCAAATATTTTGCCATTGTCTGGCAGGTGTGGCTCAGTGGTTGAGCATCAACCTATGAACCAGGAAGTCATGGTTCAGTTCCCAGACAGGGCACATGCTCGGGTCGTGGGCTCAGCCCCCATTGGGGGGGATGTAGAACGCAGTCGATCAGTGTTTCTCTCATCATTGATATTTCTATTTCTGTCTCCCTCTCCCTTTCTCTCTGAAGTCAATAAAAATACATTTTAGAAAATCTTGTGCCATGAAGGAGTTGACATTTTTGTGCTTATTCAAGGAGCTTGTCTTGAAATGAATGTCTTCTAGGTTCCATACGTCTGGACCCGTAATACTGCACAACATCCCACAGTCATTGGTGTCGGACATCCAGAGCAGTGAGAGTTCCTTAACTGGCCTTGAGCTTGATGTAAGCCTCATGTTCCAAAATATTGGACCGTATCAGGCAACCAGCTCACATAGCTTCCGAACAGATAGCAGGCCACAGCCAGCTCGTGTCTGGGTGTGTTTCCACGTGTGTTCCTTTCAGTCTGCTCCCAATTTTAAAGGCTTCACACATTTCCCACCGAGGTCCTCTGACAGTAACATCGTGCACGAGACAGAATTTAAGGAGGAGCTACATCCACTCAGGTCCCTTGTGACACATTAATAGCACAAAATGGGGGAAATTAAGAATATTTAACTTCCATTACGGCATTTCATGGGAAAGGCGGGCTGCTACGACGCAGCAGGATCCTCTTCTTATAAGAAGAGCCTGGGTTAGAACTGTTCATTAAGCTGGAAACAGATTCTTTCCTGCAAACCCAGAGGGTCTGTGAACGTTTCCAGTGGCAGGGATGAATTATATTTCCGAAATTTAATTTGCTAGAACCTACCCCATACAAGGCTTTGCTCAGAAGCATCTTAAAGGGAGGTGTGCATTCAGGAAAAGAATGACAGGAAGAATAGGAAGATTCTTTTGAAAGGAAGAAGCATGGCATTTGCCTCCCGTGTGTGTGTGTGTGTGTGTGTGTGTGTGTGTGTGTGTGTGTGTGTGTTGTGTGTGTGTACGCGCACCCAAAACATTTATATACTTTAAGGTGGGTGAGTCCTAAGAATTATCCAGTCCAGCTGTCTGCCCAACATATAGCTCATTTCTACAATATTTTAAAGGGTTGCTATAGCATATTTCTACTTAAACATCGCCAGTGATGAGAAGCTCGGTATTTCACAAGGCAAATAATTCAATGTTCAGACAACTCTAATGGTTAGAAATGTTTTCGTGATCTTGAACGAAGATCTCCCTCATCCTTCCCCCTTCCCTGGAGCTGCATAGAACCTGCCTAGTTTATTTTTCTTAGGAGAGTCCTCAATTGTTATTCAAAGGCTGTTATGATCATGAGGATGAGGGGGGTGGTGGGACTGACCATCATCATCAATAGTAACTGCACATAACATGTCCTGAGCAGTTCCCATCAGAGCTACGCTAAGCACCTTCTGTTTTGTCTCGCTGATCCTCACGAGCGGATGAGATAGGTACGCTGAACAATTTATCTTACAGAGGAGAGTGAAGTAGCTTGCGCTGGCTAACAGCCAGCGGGAGACAGCTAGGATTGGAAGCAGGCCTCCCAAAATGGCCCCTTTGCTAGCTTCCGGGCAGTGGCAGTGACTTACACATGCCCCGGGTGGTGGCTGCCAGTGTTTGTTTTCTCGGGGGGAGGATTGCGGGGGTCTATATGATACCACCTGCTACACCCGTGGCATGGCTTGCTTTCTCCTTTCATGCGCAGAGGCTTCCTTTTAGTGTGTTCTCACCACACCTTTCTCACAGTGGCATTTAAAGACATCCCTGTATGGGCATGAATACCGTCGGAAGCCATGCGCCTAGAAAATGGCAGTCCTGTAGTTCTCTTCTAGAGTCCAGTGGTTTTTCAAGTAGTTCTCTTCCCGGCTGAGGCATCCGAGGCACGAGTCAGGGAGATGTCTGGCAAAGAGCACAGCCCTGGCATCAAATGGCACCTCCCTTACCAAGTGCTGAGTGAATGCGGGGGCCTCCCCAGGACAATAATTTACTATCTAGAGCAGTAAAGATTTTGCTGTTGACTTGTACTATATCTGGCCTTTTCTTGTTTTTAGGTTGACCTTGCAGTGATGTAACAAGTTTGTATGTCTCTGTAGGTCTGATTCATTTTTTCAAATGTGGCTCCTGGTAGAGGCTCAAAGGGGTCGCTGGGGTTGTACATCTGCATTTTCTGAACTCTTCCTCGGGCACTTTAAGAAACTTAACCTTTCTGGACAGACATTGTAATAACACCCTCTCTTGTGCTTGTCCATTGACATGGTATGTTCCCGCATCAATGGAACAGAAACAAAGCAAAGATGAGATATTAACTGTGAGGAATCAGGGAATTAGTGTGTGTGTGTCGGGGGGGAGTGGGGGGGGGAGTGGATTAGGGAGGGAAATATTTTGTAAACTATACCTAAACTCTGCTTCCCATAACTAAAATACCTGACTCTTTTCATGGAAATAGTGGTTAAAATATTATCCATCTCCTCATATGAAGATGCTTTTTATAGAATGTTAAGACATAGTTACAGGGTCCAGGCGTAATTGTGCATGTTAGTCAAATACGGTCAATGCTTTCAAAGTTCATTTTTATACTGCTAATGATATTTGGTTTTGTGTTGCTTTTCCTAGGTTTGCTGGCATGGGAAATCTGCTCAAAGTCCTTACCAGGGAAATTGAGAACTATCCACACTTTTTTCTGGATTTTGAAAGTAAGTTTTAAAAATTTAAAGATGATGATAAAAACTTCTCATTTTACAGCTTGCTGATAGGGAAGCTTATAACAAAAAAGTCTCCTTTCTTTTCCTATTTTAAAAAAACAACAACAAATGGAGCATCTTTGTAAAATATGTACAGTTTTCTTTTAGAAGTGATCAGCTTTTGTAAGCTTAGTGTAAATCATCATCAAGCATTTTTCTTAATAATTTTCATGAATTTCTATCACATTCTAAATAAAAATAGTGTTCATTGTAATTTCCACTAATTAATGTAAAGCAAATTATCATTGGGGGTGAAAGAAAAAAAGTGATCAATACCAGGCATAAATAAGGCTTACAGGTGATTTATTTTCAGTCATTGCTACCTCTTCTTTATTCATTATTTTGTAATGCAACACTATTTCAGGATTTTGAGACACACACTTTTATCTGAAAGGTTATGTTTCTTTTATCAAAAACTTTAAATATTTCTCCAAGATAAAATAGCTTATGAATCATGACTAAATAAACGCAGAAATTCTTTCTTATCTTGTTTATTTTCTTGGTTGAAAATATTTACAAGTGAGTGACACTTCATGTTTAATTGACTTAGCTCATGTTTCCAGCTTTCCTCCTGTGTCCCCGCCCCCTTCTTTTTGAATTAAAATTCTATCATAGTGGGCACATTCACTTGGAAATGTCATTTTTGCCAGTATTCATCATCTGTTGTAGACTTTAAACTTTAATTTTTCAAGTATTTTATCTATATTAAAAATCAGTAGAAACTTCCTTACATGTGGAGTAAACTTCCTAACTGACATTTTCTAGGCAAATGCTAGAAGACCCTTTCAAGGTACAATACACCAAAGTGGGAAGGCTCTCTAGGAATATCTTCTCAGAATCCCTTCTGGGTCTAAAATAAATACTTAAAAATCAGGAAAATTGATCCTAAAGCTCATGTGTTCTGAAAAAAAATATTGAGGTTATATTCAGTGAAAGACACCTCACCTCTAATTTAATTCATTTTGCCGCTGCTGTTGTTCTTGTTTGGCTGGGTTTGGCTAGGTTTGACTCTGTTTGGCTGGATTAGGTTGAGTTTGGCTGTGTTTGCTTAGGTTTGGCTGTGTTTGACTGTACTTGGTTGGGTTTGGCTGGTTTTGGCTGTGTTTGGTTTGGTTTGGTTTGGCTGTGTTTGGCTGGTTTTGGCTGTGTTTGGTTTGGTTTGGCTGTGTTTGGCTAGATTTGGTTTGGTTTGGTTGGGTTTGGCTATGTTTGGCTGGTGTTAGTAAGGAGTGCATCTCCAGAGAGAATAGCTGATATCAGTAAAGAGCAGACAAGATCTGAGCAAAAGGGAACTTAAGGTAAGTTTATACCTAAAGTGGGGACATGATTAGTTAGAGGATCCAGGAAAGAGGCCACACTGTAGAGGAAGAAAAATATCATGCTGCATTGATATTCTTGATGGCAGAATATGGGTCTCACTCAGTTCTGTGACCCAGACCTTAGCTCCTGATGAGCATGAAACATTGATCACTGAGTGAGACCTGGTGACAAATGCTGGCCATATGAAGGAATGGTACAGAACAGGCTAGATCCAGAAGAGCCCAGATGTTCAAGAAGAAGGCAGTGTAAATGGATTCAAATGCTGCAGTGTGTTCATGAAGGACAGGCTTGAAAAGGGGGTGATGAATTAGGTCATGAGCTGCCCTCCTCCTGGTCGTCACTGGGAGGGCAGATTTAAGATTTGTTGCTTTGCGTACAGAGGCTGGGTTGCAAAGAGTTAAGCAGGAACCAGCGGAGGGAGGAAGGAAGGCTAAACAGCATGTAGCAACAGCTTAAATGAATTTGGCACCTCTGCTTTGAGTGTTGAATATTCTTTTTGAAGTCAGTGATGGAATATAATTGAACCGGGTCAAATAGATATAATTAAGCTGGGTCAAAATATAACACAAAATTAGACACATCTGTCCTTAGGTTTCCAGTTGTGTAGACCTGACTCAAATTCTTGTTTGACCTTTGCAATGAATTCTACTCCTTATGTTCACATTTCTGCCCAACTACTTAATATCTCTTTCATTGTTGCTTTTTTTTCACCCCACTACTTTTTTTTTTCTTTTTCTCTATTTCCTTACCATGTCTACATTTCCTCTTTGAAGGCTGGGAGACAGAAGGGGAATAAAATGCAACCTAACCTTTCATGAGTAATGTTTTTTTTGGGGGGACAGCATATGGAAAGATGTATGCCTGAAGGTCTGCTGATAACTTTAATCGAATTCACCCATTATGGCACCCAAAGTGGGCAGTGGGCATTAGCCTTCCCGTGAAATAGTTCCAGTGAGTGCCAGACTGAAATGACCATTGGAAACATCAAGCAAGCCTTATTTTTCTATAGTTGTCTGTTCCTCACCCCAAAATTCTGATTCAATGGTTTAGTCCTAAGAATCTGCTTTTGCCCACATTCCCTAGGTGTTTTTGAAGGTCAGCCAGTCTGGGCACCATATTTAACTAATGGATCCAAGTGAGGCACTAACCCAGCCTAGTGTGTGGGACCAGAGTGCTAACAAAGCAAACTCTTGATTTCCAAGATTCAGAGCTGTGGTCTCCAGAATTGATCACAGAAGGCTCCTTAGAGCTCCCTCTCCTATTTTTCCTTGCCCAGCAGGAAGTTAAAGATGGCTGCAAGGCAGAGCTACAACTCTGGAGTCATACTCTGCCTCAGTCCTTTACACAGTGTCCATCTACCTTGAAGCAGAAAGTCTCCAAGACAGGTAGAAGTTCAAGTAGATTAAAATCTACATTGTTATCACAGGTATCAGTAGTTAATTCCCCTTATTTAAATCTGCTATGAACATTCTTATAGAATCTTGGTGGGCATTATTTATTTTGGATAAGTACCTAGTAGAGGGTTGCTAGTCAGTTATATGCAACTTTGCAAGAAACTATCAAATAGTTTTCCAAACGTGATGTACTATTTTCCATTCCTACTAACAAGATAGGGAGCTTAGCTGTTCTAAATGGTTTACAACATTTAGTCTTGTCAATCTTCACCTTTTTAGTTATTCTAGTATTTATGGGGTCGGTATCTCATTGTGGCTTTAGTTTGCATTTACATGATAACTGATAATGCTGAACACTTTTCCACATGCTTATTGATTATTTGATTGTCGTTTTTAGGAATGTTGTCTACTCACGTCTTTTACCATTTTTAACTGGATTATTTTTCTTTATATTGCTAAGATTGTTCTAGCTCAGATAGATTGCTTTAAACCCCTTATCGGAAATTAGTTCATTGTACTTGCCTAAATAAATTTTACAGTTAGCTTCAATTTCCACACAAAAAAAAAATCTTGCTTGGATATTGATTACAATCATCTTCAATCTAGAGCGTGGTTTGCTGAGACTGGCATCTAAACAATATTGATTCTTCCTATTTATGAATATTGTATATCTTTCTATTTATTCAGATATTCTTATAAGTTCATTTTTAGTTTTAGAGATCCTGTATCCTTTTTGTTGAACATATCCTGAGCAATTCCTAATTTGACCATAACAGCTTTTTTATTTGTGTTTATATGTCATGTGTGTCTCTATCCTATCTAGGTATTAATCTACATACTGTATTCTTGCAAACAACATATAGTTCACCCTTGCTTTTCATCCAAGCTGATACTATCTACCTTGTAATTGGAGTGCTTAATCTATTTACATTTAATTATCATATGTGCATTTAATTAATGTTGGTATTTGAATCTGTCTTGGTGTTGACTTCCCTTTGTTACATTTGCTCTTTGTTTCACTCTTAATGTTTTTCTGCTTTTTGATTACATGAAATAATTTTTGGTAGTCTCATCTGTCTTTTCTGTCAACTTTTTATTTATGCCTCTTAGTGCTTATGTTAGATATAATAATATACATCTTTAATTTATGGAGATCTACCTTCAAAGTATATTCTTTACCTCATGAAGAATTTATGAACCTTATCACAGTATACTTCCAATCACCACCTTGCCCCTCTTTCTGTGAGTGTTAGATGTTTTGCTTCTACCTATGACATAAACTTCTCATTGCAATTTTTAAATTTTAAATTCTCAGTAACCTTTTCTGTGTGTGTATGTGTGTGTGTGTGTGTGTGTGTGTGTGTGTGTGGTTTTAATAGATAATTTATGTTTACTTGTTCTGGTGTTCTCCATTCTTTCTTGCTTAACTAAGTCTCTTTGGTATTATTTCCTTGCAGCCTAAACAGCTTTCCTGTGGAGAGGATTTGGATGGCATCTTAAGCTTCTATCATTCTGTGTCTTATCTACTCTCCAGCATAGAGCTGGGCATGAAGCCTAGGCTTAGGAACTTGGATTTTCTTATTGATGCTAAATCAGTCACTATATTCAGAGCATCTCCTGCATGATGATAGCACCAAGTGGGAATAACAGGGATGGGAGATGGGCAGGGAGGCACAGAGGGGTGGCATAGCAGACATAAATATAGGGACATTAGAAGAATATATATGCTTCAGAGAGTGTATAATTTTATTGAGGAGGTAAGATTCAAGGACATTGAAAAGACAATAGGACAGGTAATAGAGAAATCTGTACTAGGACAGAGAGCCAAATAAATAATAAATAAATAAAGGTTCTAGGCCATGCTGAAGATCGTAACGGATAAATGATTTTCTTTTAAGACAAACCAAACCTTATGAGACTAATAGGAATGCTGAGAACAAACATGGCGGGGTGAGGTTGTTAAGAAAGAAATTCTAAAGCCTCCACACCATTTACTATCAGAGAGACGGACTATTTTGACCTGTTAGGACTCTAGTCTTCCACTCTTTAAAGCAAAGAGGGTGTCAGATTAGCTGACCATCTGGGATATTTTGGTTGACACAGATTACTTCTTGCCACTACTGACCTCTTCTTTTATCTGCCCCTCTCTGGTACCCTCACATCTGCTAAGGTTGTTCAGAGGACACCAGATAATCTTGGAGAGAAAGGAGGAACATAAGATGTATTTTGGTCACTTTG